GCAAAAACAATACATGTTGTTTTAAATCAGCTTTGCTGTAGTCTTCGGACTTCTCGTTTTTGTTCTTTATATTTTGGCTGATTTGATCTCTTCTCTAGAGATCCAACGTTTACAACTAGCAGGATCTTCGTCCACGGTTTTTGCAGTTAATTTATTTCTTTCCGCAACTGCAAAATTTGCGTCTATAACTGCGATGATCTCCTTTCATATAATAATTCTTCAGCCCGCAGTTCTCATATATGATTTTCGTATATTCATAACTTAGAAATATTATTATTGTATATTTGTTGTTAGAATCTGCAGATAGCACAACCATAAACAGTATAACATTTACAAAAACACACGAGGTAGCCGCCGTAACATTTGGTGGGCAAATGAAAGTATGGGATCTGAGGCAAACAAGTGATAAACCTGGAAGAACAATGCTACTGTAAGTGGCCAAAAAACGTTTCTTAATATTTGCTTTGAAAATGTTAAGAGTGAGGGGACACGTTACCAAAGAAATGCAAAGAAATTGTAGCAAATCAATGTGTACCAGTATCTGAATATGGTGAATGTATAGAGCAGTTATAAACATTGAACATTGTTTGATTTCAAGAACTGTTTTTGAAGAAGAACTGACAACATTACCATAGGTCTGTAAAATCAATAGATACAGTACATAATCTGGCACTTATAAGCCCTACCCCCCCCCTCAGCTATAGCTCGTCCATCTTCCTGTAAACAACAACAACAACAACAACCTGTAAATAAGTGTTATTATTCATTTATACTGGTATTATTATTTTATGTGTAGTTCTGGTGAACGAGTGTCATTGCTGTGTGTTGATAAACACCCCACCCAGCCCCACCTATTGGCAGCAGGAGGACAGGATGGGGTATTGAGTATCTGGGACATGAGACAGGAACTGTATCCTGTTACTTTACTGGAGGCACATGCTGCAGAAAGTGAGTGATATCTTTGTATTAAATACTTCAGTAGGCTATTTAGGGTATCTTTGACTGACCTTATTTCTAGTGTAAGTCAAGAATACATGGAATAAACTTGAAAAATGAGGAAAGGGAAAAGGAAAAATGGAAAAGGGAGGCAGAGAGAAGTTACTGAAGAGCACTCTTGGCAAACAACATTGGCTGAAACACTCCTCATATGTTCTCCCTGAAACATGTATACCCCACTTGATCGTTGTTGAGGACTACTGTGCATGTACCTTCAAACTGCCCACTGGCTGCTAGCCCCTTTGGTGCTCTTTGTAGTCAAGTCCTTTAAATTGCATTTAAATCCCACAGGCATTCCTTTCTTCCTTTCTCTCTCTCTATTTTTTTCTTTTTCCCTGCTCTCCAATTCGCACCTCTCCATATAAATTACGTCTTTATGCTAAGGACTAGAGAAGTCTTTTTCTTTTCCCATCTCCGTGAAAGATCTCCTTCAGTCATGCCCAGTTAACTCAACTAGATTCCAGTGGACAAAATCTGGAGTCCAGTGGAATCTAGTGGAGAAATAAAACCGGAAGAACAGTGGAGTCCACTTGACTTACGAGAAGTCTGGTCGTAAGATAAAACCAGAAGTGTAAAAAATACTTTGAGGAGGGTTAGAGTCCATACGAGTGGAGTCTAGTTTGACAGAATTGGACAACCCTTGAAAGATCTTCGTATTGAATCATGATCATCACCATGTTGTTTAACTAAAACATCTTATTTTATCCTTCTTGCACCAGTTTGGGAAGTTAAGTTTCATCCCCTCAGTCCCGACAATCTATTCACATGCTCTGAGGATGGCTCTCTCTGGCACTGGGATGGTACCTCTGTAGCTGTGCAAAGTGTCACCGGACTCCCAGGTGCAAGTAAAAGTTTCCTTCCGAGCAGTATTGGCAATGGTGCTGGCATCGGCGGAGGATATGACAGCATAAGTCCTTGGCTTTCAATGGATGCAACAAAACATAAAATGGAAACATTTTCTCTACTTCCTTATAATAGACTGTCAATCAATTCTCTGGACATCCAATCTAAACACTTATTGAGTGGGAGTGACTGTGAAGCTATTTTTATCATCAAAGATCTTGTCATTAGATGATTTTTCTAGTAATAATGTTTATAACTTTTATAATATACATGTAGATCTAAGGGTGTACAGTGAAAAAAAAAAATTTAATTCTTTCAGTTGATAATAATTTATAATATTATAGTCATGTAAGACAATACTTAACACATGAAAGGTCATCCTTGTTATGTACATGAGTTAGCAGTTGCATAAAGAATGCTAGGCTTGATTTCTGCCACTCTTAGTCCAGTCATGTACCTTTCCGAGAAGAGATGGCTGGATGCATTAGTGGTCAATCATGTCTGATGTACCGGTGTATTCATAATAAATATTTAATTAACCCATAATTGTTAAAAAAAATACCAGAGTTGACATGTTGATTTTGCCTCTTCGTCAACTTTCTCTTTACCACTAAACTCAGCAGTGATGCTTACTGATTTTAAAGTATTTCCATTGATCTTGCATTAGCAAAGTTAGGGATGAAATTACAAAAAACAGACTTGAAAGTCATCTCTTTCGTAATGGCTGTCAACAATCATTGGTGCAGACTGGAAAATTTATAATAATTCAATTATTGTCAATTTTTGAATAACAAAAGCATCCTCACCATTCAGCAGCTTCTCTACTACTGTAACTCTTTTCATTGTAAATATTTCAGGTTTTTATTAAGCTTAAAATGCCCCAAAATACAATCACAAGCCACAGTATACAACACCTTTACATCTGCTGTTTAAAATCTGCTCCAGGAAAAATAATATATGCTGACTGCTTGATGTGGGCAGGCAGTTGTTTGATTACTAATAATCAACAATAGCAACCCCATGCATCCAGCCCTTTTTGGGGGGGCAAAGTGTGGGCCCATTTTTCAAACAGTGGCTGGAAATTGAGCATAAAAGAAAGCCTAGAAAAAGTCAGACTTGAAAGTGGTTCAAATCCCATTCAAGCTAGCTTGAATCTGATGCAAATCTTGTTCAAGCCTTTTTTCAGGCTTTTGTTTTCACAACTGCTTAAAAGTTGCCTACATGACTGTACTGATCTTTCATGTGTTAAGTCTTTCTCCTGTAGTCCCTTTCCAACTTTTTGTCCTCTCAGCATCTGTGACTTTGAAAGGATTTGTCTATTTTTGTAAGTTAGTTCTGACTCAAGCATACATCTCTTGTTTATACAAGAGTTTATCCTAAACATAAACATTGGTCAAAACCAGCAAAACTATGTAACAATTAATATTGTGTAGTTAGGCTTTAATTTTCAGCTATAAATGGCAATTTTGCTCTATTTCATAAATTAAAGAAACTTGCAACAGATCATTGTATACACTCAGGGGATTTTTCCTGTGTAATTTTAGAAAGCCATCCACAGTCAATCCTCAAAGTACAAAAGCCTCGATCAAAAATAGGTCAGTGTAATCCTTATAGTGTCGAAGGTTTTCCTAAAATGGAAGTTGTTGCTTTAAAATATTTAGATTGGTTAGCAGAGAACAGAGGATAGACCTGTTTTTAAATTTATCTGGTAAATGCTAGTTTTATTAGAATCTATTTAATTCACTTAAAATCACCTTGACAAGAAAGGTAGTCTATTGTACCTTGTCAAAGTTTGGACTCCAGATTTGTGTGAATACTTCAACAGCTTTTTCAGGATACAGCATTTATTGTGTTTATAAAACTTTATATATTTTAACATCTGTCGAACACTATGTACATAACACAGGTATGGATTTATCCATAGAGTGCTGAAATCAGGATTTCAGCAATGTACCTGAAAGCACTTAACAGAGTGCTCTTTCCAAAGCATGTACAGTACTGTCCACGCATTTGTCAACGATGACAATCACTGGTCTTATTGGAGTACAGTTTGTAAGCTTGAGGTCTATTTCTTATTATTAAAAACTGAATCGTTGGATAATGCAATTCTAGAGCTTTGATTGGCTTAACCATCATGGCATATCAGCCATTATACCATGCTCTCCAAATATGGTAACTGTACGTGTCTGCTCAAAATTAAAAACAAGCTGAAAATCAGTTGTTTTATGAATAAAGTGGAGAAGAATTCTCTATATTTTGTAGGCATTTTCAATAAAACAATTATTCCACTCTCACTTGTTGGATATGAGAATAGCCAACTCATATCCAACGCGCACTCGTGGAATTATTGTTAAATAGTCCTTACCCTTTTCATGCCCGGAGTGGCCAATGCTGACATTAAAGGGCCATTAATGATAGATTTTGAACGCAATGCAATAAAACTCAAAAGTGAGCTACGAATTTGAGCTGGATTGTGGGCTTAGCCCATTACTACTAGTAATCATTTGTTAAATTTGGATATCTCAGGCTTGCATTTGTCAATAGCACTTTGTTTGAAGAAGTTTTGCAATTTTTTTTTTGTCATCCTTATTTCATACATTCTTAATACATGTAATTATAATACTGAGACAGCTTCATGCATGACTTTGAAATAAAATTTATTTTGACATTTTTTGTTCAGAAAATGATTGTATTATAAATTACACCATTCTTTCAAAGCCATCAGCTAGTTGTCAAGCATTTTATTTACTTGACAACAACCATGTAATAACATACATGTGCAGTGGATATGAACAGAGTCAGGTTGACCAATGTCCATTTTGACCCATTTAGATGGTCAATATGTGGATATAACCTTATCCACTGGACAAACGTCTGTCTAGTGGATAACACAATATTATTGATTTCTCTTACACTTATCCAGTGGAAAATGATTTATCTGGCAAATAACACTATCCAGCTTTTGACCAGAGTGAATTTGTGATTTAAAAAAGGGATGCAAACTTGACTGCTTGAATGGCTGGGCCAGCTAAAACAATGATGGTCTTACAAAAGCTCTCACCAGCTATCTTGAAAAGAGATGATAACAATTAATATTATTATTTAATTTTTTTGCATCAATTTATATTAGCCTTGTCATTTATTTAGCCCACTGTCATAATTTACAAAACAAGAAAATGGATTGCTGAGGTTCCTTGAGTGTATTGGTTTAAACTTGCATGGAGTTAATCCAAGCAACTTGTAAGCAAGTTCCTCCATGACTTGACCTATGATTAAAAGGAAGAAATCATTAGTAGTGATTAATAGACCCATCCAGGCCAGGCCAATAACTGAAACTGACAATCTATAAAAGTCAATTCTAATTGATGCCAATTAAGTGATATCGAAAAACAGTGACAAATCATGAAAAAAAATCTTCAAACTCTTAATGTGACTAATTTTTATTGATTTTTTTATTATCATGACACCAGTTTTCATTGGTTGTTTTCCAGCTGTATCAAACTCATATTGCAACAATTCAACTAACAAAATTATGAATGTATGGATTGCTGGACACTTGTCTGCATGTCCTCACAAGACACATGTACAGTCAAATCCTGGTAACTCAAACCCTCTATAACTTGAACCTCCCGGTAACTCGAAGCAATTTACATTTCCCTTCAGATCGCTTTCTCTTTAATTTTACCCTCGATAACTTGAACTCCCGGTAACTCGAACTATTTTCTCTTTCCCTTGAAGGTTCAAATTATCAGGAGTCGACTGTATATAATTCTGGTAAATGTTGGAGACTTTGAAATTCTGTAACGCCTTTATTATTGGCGCAGTAAACACCAAACTTGATTATTTTGTAAAGCTTGATGTGCTCTTTCTGAGCCTGTGGGTCTTGTGTTGATAATCCCATAATATACAGACTCATACCCACTCCCCTTGGGTTTGAAATCATTACCAGGCAATAGCAGGCACACAACAGACAGTGGTTGGGTGGGGGGGGGGGGATTAGTATACCTGCCAACTCTCATACTTTATGAGCCTCATGCCTGTGGACTACAGACATCAATGTCATGAATCAAGGACAATTTCTCACACCTGACTCACAAATCGGGATGAATTTTTCTTTAATACATGATTACTAATGAAAATTAAATTTGGTTTCACAAAGATAATTATATCCAAAAAAGGCACTTTGTTTTGACTTTGTGTCCTCAATGTATCCACAACACTATTCCCAAGAAAAAAAGGAGAAGAAAAGAAAGCCTGATACTCAGGTTACCACAACATCAAAAATGTCACGTTTTATATAGCTTTGGAAGTTTTCAAAGGTCGTTGGGACATCCTCGGAGATTATTTTCGGCAATGTTTGGAAGTCTTCGGAAGTTGCTGGGATGTTTTCGGAAATCCCAATCATGACAGGACAAAAATCTCATGCATTTGACTCAGAAAAAGTTGGCAGCTATGAATTAGAACTAGCAATGGTATCGTAATGTTGTGCTTACCTGTACACAAAATAATTCTTTCTTTGGAGAGGTATTTCATTGTTTGTGCTGTTTTTGTAAGACATTCCTCTGAAAGGAAAGGGGGATCAGCGAAAACCACATCAAATGAGCATTCTGTGATAGAATCTGGTAAGTCCAGGGGTTTGTTGTAGTCATAGAATACAAAGTCTTCTCCAAAAACATCAAATCTTCTGTCAAATTCAAATATTTTAGCCTCACATCTAGCTGGTTTGATCTCTAAAAGTTTCTTGAATAAGGTTGGTGCACAAAGACAGGCAATTCTAGGATTAAAAGAAAAGAAAAATATAGACTTACAAATATCAGTTTTTCTACAATAATATTAAGTTACCACAGTGTATCAACCCATATGCCGATGCAAGAGCCCTAAGACATTTAAATAAAAACGTAATAAAATTACTTAATTAATAAAGGTATTTTAAAATAAATCAAACTGACAAAGGCAGCTGCAGCTTATTAGAAAAATATAGAGATATATTCTTCCATGCAGAACTTGTGTGCAGGTTTTCTTGAGGCATTCAATGGCCCAACTGTAAAGGACAGGAAGCTACAAGTCTACTTACTTCACCGCGACAAGAATTTATATGATTTTAGTCAATTATCATATATGTTACAGGTCAAAATTAAATTCAGGTTAAATTTTTTTAACCTAGGTTGATTCTCAAATTCCTTTGTTGCCAAGGCCTGATTATTCATGAATTAGGGCTCCGAGACAAAAAAATTGAGAATCAACCTGGTTTGCCAAAGGGGCTATGCGTGCTGTCACTAAGATTTGAAGGTGCCAAGTAGAAACAATTAGTAGGCAACAAATTGAGCAGCCAGGAACTTTTTTGGTTCAATTTTTTTTCATGAATAGAAGTAGCTGGAGGTCCTGTTCAGAGAAGCTGAGGAAAATCCCCAGCCCTCCGCCCTGGCTATGAGATAATAATTATTAAGATTTTTACCTGCCATTAGAAGCAGCTCTTAGGGCTTCCTCTGCTAGCGTTAATGCTGTTTGATCGTTGTACCAAAACTGGCTGAGTTGCTTTAGTGAGAAGAAAAGAAAACATGATCCATAAGGAAACAAATTAATTTAAAGAGAATGGAAAGCCTCTCTTAATGTCGAGGTATCTAGACATGGACATAGTTTATTTACCCACAAAGAGATTAGGGGCTGTAACTGATCATTAAAACGCTCTGTTGAAAAAAAAATTGGTTGGGAAATTCAAAAGAAATGTAAATTAAAAGGGATAACCTGAAATATATACAAATGCAGGAATAATTACCAAAGCCATATATACTTCTTTTACAAGGCACGCAAAATTTTGAGCAATTATGGAGTGGAGGCTAACTGCCATTCAGTATTTGGCTATTTTGTCTTAATCGTTAAGTGTCTGAAAGCTTCCAGCCATTTTCAGTCACTGCTGTCTGTTAAGTTGCATGAATGTCATTTGTCCAATAATCTTTTCTTTTTTTTTTTTTTAGTGAATGTTATGTGAACCATATTACAGTTCAATCATACCCAGTTCTCATCTATGTCTGTGTTTCCTTCTGATGCCTCCTTTTCTTGTTTTTGTTTCTCTTCTTTGTAAAATTCTTGCAGAGCTGCCAGGGCATGCGCAGATAATTGAGGCAAATCATCATCATCATCATCTCTGTTATTGTCAAGGTGATTCTAAAGTTTTACAAAGAATTTAAAGAAAAATAAAAAAAATAGTTCTACTTGTTTGCGAATACCCGTACTGCACAAAGATTACCCAAGACGGGGAAAATCGGAAAAGAAAATTGATATCTAGAGTATCCCTTTGACCTTTGTCTCGTGTTTTCTTCTTCAGTTCTTGTATCAAAATTTCCACTCTGACCCACGGTTGCGATTTGGATACGCATCCAATGAACACACACCATGTATTGAGACAATACTAAACGTTTCTCGTGTAAATTTGATTCAAATATCACATCAGGATAAAGAAAATGTGTCAAAAACGTTTCATTACCTGATTTTCGTTCACGCTCAAACCATCCGCCATGTTGAAAATTAGTAACCTAGCCAGAAAGTTGTAGCCTGGTTACCAAGCTGAAAGTTGCTTCCATGGTGACGCTAATTACTGTAATTGCCTTATTGCATAATGATGATGCTGTAACCGGCTGAGCTCCGTGAGTTGTTTTAATATGTACAAATATTGGACGCCGTGGTATCCCCCTGCAACAGAATGTCGGACTTCATAAACCATTTTAGTATTGTTGAAATTTAGCTGTCTTGTTTGGGAATGCCCCCCTCGGACGAGGACGAAATCTGCTGTGCTTTGGATCCCACGGTCAAGACCTCCGTGAAAATTTTGCGCGAAACGCCGCTAAAGTATCAGTCGAGTGACCACATAAATAATCTTCAAGAGGAGAAGGAAAATTTTCTCAAGTTTGGCAAATTGCCCAGGTTCAAATTCGCTGGTTCTGTCGACTGGCTTGGAATCGACAAAAAGAAGACAAGGATTCGATTCGATTTTTTGCCGGAAGCCAGGTACATTTTGGAGCGCGTACGAGATGCCTTCGGTACTGGGGATGTGTTTTTGGATACTGCGTTTGGACAAAGGATATCGCTTGGTCAGGCTTCCCGAACTGTCTTGCAGTATTTAAAATCGCACGGTTTGGATGGATCTCTGAAAGTTGTTTGGACAAACGATCTAAACGGCAGCGGAAAAATGCAGTGGCAAGGCCCTAGTGTGCGCTATAATCGCCCTGAGGCACGCAAATTCACCTTATGGCTTAAACAAAGCAGTGAAAACGTCTATCTTCGGGAACATGGAATAAAAAGTTTGATGAACCACGAAATTGGGACTCATTTTGTATCCTTTTTCACCAAGTCCTTTAATCATCTGAAATGTTAAGTAAGTTAAGATCTCCATCAATTACGGGTTTTATAATCTTTTTATCCTGTGGGTGTACCTTACAAATGCTGACGCTTTAGCCAGATTTGTCTAATCAAATCAAAACGTTTCATTTTAAACTACAGGAGTCAGTATTGCTCTGTCTGTAATCCAGTGATATTTTCAGGTTTAAAATGAAATAAGCTCGCTTTGATCTACTTTATGGTAAAAATGGTCGCGGTATTAGTATTATCGATCGATGGGAATATGAAGCCAAATACATAGATCTTTTGTCGCAGGTTAAATTTACGGGAATCAAGATTTAATTCCATGTTTAAGTATCACAAAACTTCGGGTTTATCACGTAATATTTCTTCGATCTTTACGTTGTTGACATTTTCTGTGTCCCTGTTAGCAATTTACCGGTTTAATAGATCAGCTGACAGGAAATTATCAACACGTCACTTCAATGATTGTTCTTGCGACAAGATAAACATCCGACGTCACGAAATCGTCAAGGAAGTTGTTAACACCGACCAGGCGCTTGAATAGGGGCAGTTTCTCTTCTTTTTCTCACTCTGCGAGATAAAAAAAAGAGGGGAAATGGATGCGCAAAGCTACTGACAGGGCGAATAGAGGAACTACCTATCGCCCTATCGCGGCAATCTTTCTCACGCGCGCTTTTTAAAACAGGAAATCAATTTTCTAGCCTCCACTCTTTCTTTTTGGCTCTCTCTTTCTCCCGCAATCGCTCCCTTCCCAAATCACGCGCTTCCAATATCCCTTGACCTTGTTTTGGCGACTTCCCTCTGCCTGCTATCTGAGAGCTAGTGAGAGGGAAACATCAACTGATGAGGGTACTCTATTTCAGGATGTCAATTTTTTTCTCCTTATTTTCCTTAATTTGTGATTCTCTTCGGTAGCTTCGCGCCGTGAATGATGGATTGCAGCCGTGGTATTCAAACAGGAAAAATTTCGACTTGCGCACTCCAAAGTCTTACACCGGTATGGTCAATGAAGAAGGATTAGCGGCTATAAACACCATTTATGAGGCTCAAGTAAAGATGCTGTTTCTACCCGCCTTGCTGTATTGTAAGTATGAAGAACATTTGTAGCTATGATGTAATTGCAAGTGTGCGCCATGGAGGTAAACGGAATTCTTTGCACTTTCTTCTTTGTTGCAATCCGGCCTTGAGACGAGTAAGAAAAGCAGTTTGCAATTATTGGGCGAACACGGACTTGAATGAATGGCAAACACCTGACCTATTTACACAGAAGAGCCCCTCGCTGTATTAAGTCTATTAAGGAGCCAAAACACTACTATGCATGGCGGGGTTTAAGTGAACCATGACTGCGGAGACAGGGAAAACGTTGGCTAATAAAATGAATTCACGTACTTTCAAAGGTGATAATTTTTATTCCAAGCTGCTCAGTATGTCAAATGCAGGCGAAATTTCCTAGAGTTGAATTCATAAGGACCCCAACCAACGGGAGAGTTGAAAAAACTGACCCCCACTCCGCGGACTACCCACTGACCCCACTCCGCGGACTACTCTACGGACTACTCCGCGGACTACTCTACGGACTAGTCCGCGGACTACCATGCGGACTACCCTAACTAATCAACCAAATTTACTTTCACGGAGAAAAGAGTTAGAAGAAGCGTACCTGCCTACAAGATCACACTTGATAAACAGCCGCCATCTTGATTTTCGCCATTTTACTCGACCCAGCTCTCCTTTAGCCTCGCCCCAGTCTTCATCGGCCACAAGTCAGAGCACGCCGTTCAGCCAATCGATGACCACTATTGGCGCTGGTAACAGTTTTTGTTATATTCAGCTTAAAAATGTTTTTAAGAACTTACTTATAGCCGTGCTTGGAAGTCACCATATTTTTGGATTCACCTGGCCCACAAGGCCCTTGGAGACGTATTCTCCTACGTAGGGCACGCAGTCGTTATTTGGATCGTCACGCGAGGTTTGGAGAGAAGCGTTGCGTGACGATCCAAGAACGGAAGCTGCAATGGACGTAGCAATGAAGAAGAAGGGCTGGGTCGAGTAAAATGGCGAAAATCAAGATGGCGGCTGTTTATCAAGTGTGATCTTGTAGGCAGGTACGCTTCTTCTAACTCTTTTCTCCGTGAAAGTAAATTTGGTTGATTAGTTAGGGTAGTCCGCATGGTAGTCCGCGGACTAGTCCGTAGAGTAGTCCGCGGAGTAGTCCGTAGAGTAGTCCGCGGAGTGGGGTCAGTGGGTAGTCCGCGGAGTGGGGGTCAGTTTTTTCAACTCTCCCCCCAACCAAGTTAGAAAAACTCGTCGTTTTGTGTAAACGTCCTCCGCACGGTTGCATGTCTTACAGAATTTCATATCGCGGTCGTGCAGGGACGGCAAAGAAACGTACCGAAAAGCTTGATGTACTTTTAGAGTCGTTGTTTTGCTCATTAAACCTACCTTTGCTCAATAAATCTACATCTTGACCTTATCGTTGCCGCCGCCGCCGTCTTTTTTTGCTAAATCTCCCTGACCTCAATTAGGCGCCACACTCTCCATGCGGCAATTACTATTTAGATCTGGAAAGCGATATAGACCTTCAAAGCAAACATACGTTTTTTCTGTGCTTTTGTTATCGTCGTGAAGATAACAAGACAAAGAAAGTTAGGTTACTTAGTGGTGTAATTCGCAATTTCAATGCTTTGAATAATCGCTTCCCTCAAATAAGCTTCGTACCCGGGTCGAAAACTTTTATGAGCACGCGCACACTCTCTTTCCATTACATACCTTTTATGGATTGCCTTTAAAAGCCAACTGAAACCCGCCTCTTCAGAGAAGCAGAGTATTTGCTTTTTTTACGTTATTGCATTTTATGATATGTTGCAACGTTAGAATCTTAGCAGATTAGGTGTTCTTACTTCGTACTTTTTCTGAGGCATCAATTGATTATAAATAGATCTTGCCATTGAATTTAGAAGTGACTTAGAAACTGCCATTGGAAATTAGTGGTGATAACGCCATATAGATTAACTTATCATTGCTATTATTATTATTTGTTGTTGTTATTGTTGTTATTATTATTATTATTATTATTATTATTATTATTATTATCATTGATTTTAATCTTACAGACACTGCATGTATGTCAACTGAAATGTCCTTTAAGGAACTGTTCGAGCATCTGGCTATGTACATATATGATCCAGAACAGCGGTGGAAGCAGGTGGTTCGAGCAAAGCGCTGCCTGACAGACTGCAGTGAAGTAGGAGGATGCGGCTACGATCAGTGTTATTTTGAAGGTAGGTCTGTGTAATGGTAAGGTAGGTGTTGCGTGTTGGTCTACGACACAAGTGATAAAGGGGCTTAAGCAACAGCGACGACGACGGCAATGAGAACGTCATAAAAGCAATAGGTTTAGATTAGAAAAAAATAATAATAATAAAATACGTCGTACGCGAAATTCTGCAGACAGGCAAAAAAAAGGAAGGAGGACCGCCTGACCACAGGTTAGTGCAGCTTCTCAATTAAGATTCCTAGCATGCAAGCGACGTCTTTATTCTTATGTATCTTTCTTGTAGGAGCTGTGATGATTCTACGGCAAGTTAACGAAATTGACTTCAAGCTGTTATACGCGGGGAAAATATGCTGCGATGAACTGCAAAGAATCAAGCGCATCGCTCGACAGGACTGTGTCAAGCTGCCACACTTCTTACGAGACATCGTAACTTATAAGAAAACTCTAAACGAAATTGCTCTTGCAAATGGATTGATACAAAAAATCAACAGACCCTTATCCTCTGGTAATACCACTCGCCCAAAAGGCAGGAAAAAGAAATCAAAAGTGGCGCCACTAGATCGAGTTCCATCAAGAGCTTTAAGTTGCCCTTCTAGAACACGCAATGGAGTTCAGAGTTCTGTTGCTCGGCCGCTAAGAATTCTTTCCCGGCGATCAAGCACGTATAGACGTCTATGCACCAGTGTGGCTTCTTTTGCTCCTTTGCTACCTTAGGCCTACTTAGTTGGAAGGAAACAGTTAGACAACTCAGCGCTTTGCTTGTAGAGTTGTTGCCGGAGTTCTATTGTGTTTCGAGTTATATTGCAAATAGACCTACGAGTAGTCCCCATTTTTCCTCAAGGATAGTAGAGCGAGCGAAACGCGAGCGCGCGTGAAAATAAGCCCACGCGAGAAAAGGCGACACGCGGCGGGGAGAGAGAAAAATGAAAAAAAATTTTCTCTCTCCCCGCCGCGTGTCGCCTTTTCTCGCGTGGGGTGATTTTCACGCGCGCTCGCGTTTCGTTCGCTCTACTATCCCTGAGGAAAAATGGGGACTACTCGTAGTCTATATCGCAGAGTGCAGCGTGCAGCGTGAAAAATGTATAAACCAGAAACTGCCGCTTACGAGCCCTGGACTTATACATTATCTCAAGGGCTAGTGGGGCTTATAAACGGGGAGGGGGCAGACATCAGAGGGGGCTTAAACGGGAATAAAAAAATCGCTTCGTGAGGTTATAGCAGTGCTGATCAAAATACGTTTTGCATTTAAGCTTCCAAACGTCTTGATAAATTGTATTCTTTTCAATACATTTGGTGGGGGCTTATATTCGGGGAGGGGATGGTTAAATCAGATATTTTTCTTTGTTTACGAGTCGATGGGCCTATAACTGGGTTGGGGGGCGGAGGTGTGCTTATGAGTGGCAGTTTACGGTATAGAAAAAGAAGCTAGCAATAAGGACTTGTCTTGCCAGCTCCAAGAATACTTTTTATAGAGCATAAAAGAGTATTTTGGTAATGTACTAATAAAGATAGAAATTTTGCTTTATCGAATCTGTTTGTCAGCCCCACATTACTTTTTTGCAATTTTTAGGCGAGCGAGTGCGAGGCGCCTTCCCCCGTCGCGCGTGTCTCGCGCTCTACCAACCTCGTCCCCAGGGCCCAGAGTCGAGAAAGCGGACTTGTCCAGTACATACTTTATGCATGTACGATAGCTTGTTTGTCATTTATACCGCTCTATAATCAGAAGTTTTATAAATGTTACTCGCTTTTCCTTTCATAGAAATCGGAGGAAAGCAAAAAATTACCATGGCCAGCATGTGTGACGAAAAGGAAATCTTGTAAAACTTTTAGTTAATCGCCAAGAGATATAAAAGGCCGCCCAAGATCGCGCGCTGTGAGGTTACGCATAATCTTTTCTCATAGCGCTAATTTATTACACCCAGGATTTTAGGGTGTACGAGCGGACACGTGACCAGCCGATGCCAGGGCCTTTTCCCGCCCCACCCATTTTTGAAGGGAAAAGCCCTAAGGACGAGGTTGGCGCTCCACGCCTGCTTCGTGCTAATCGTTTGCCTGAAAAACGCGAAAAGGCTATTCACATTGTCTTAGACCGCGAGCGGTCGTCCTTCTTTCCTCAGAGCCTCGCGCGCTGAGCGAAAGGGTAAAATTTTACAAATTAATGGCAAAAAAGGAGGAGAGATACCGTGTCTCAAATGAAAAATAAGAGACTGCTCGTAGTCCAACATTGTCCTCCTTTCTTCAATCGAATACCCACCGGAGCCTCCCACCTGCTTAAAATAATACAAAAACTCATCCTAAAAAGTTTGTCGCTTCATCGAAACCTCGATACAACAAAACCCTTTAATTATAGTGTATAGTAGACTACAAAACAGTCCGTATTTTTGCGTTTTCAACTACGCGCTAGCAGTCAAACAAAAGGTCTGAAACGAGGCTGAAAACAGAGAGCGAGACCGGGGAGACACGCTAGGGGAGTGGGAGGCTCGCGCGCTTCGCGCGCGCAAGACTCTTACGTCACGCATTACCGATTTCTTTACTGATCTTGAGAAAAAAACCCGACTGTTTTGCAGTCTAAGTGTATAGTGAAGGCATTACTAGTAGCTGTTCGATCAGCCTTGCCATCAATTTTAAGCGTTCCTTCTTACTTTGAAGAAAATACTGTTTCACGAAAAATGCAGTCAATATTCTAAATTCTAGCTGCGCCCATTATTTCCCGGCCATGTGTAGCTTCGTGGCATTTGCGAACCTTCTGAGTTCCAGAAATGATGCACTAGCAAAATTAACGTGACCTAGGGGATGGTCATTGTCTACCCAGGGGCTACCCCTAGGCTTTTGATGCGCACGTGATTTCCGACCGGACTGTCGAGCGGACTTGAATCCCAAATTTGGTCAACAGTTCGTCGCAGATTAGCTTGTCTTTCGAGGAAAGGAGAAAATATAGTCACCCAAGAAGCAAAATAATAGCGCGTGTGGATCCAATCAAATAGAAAGACGACACATTTTCGTTATCGTTTTGCAATAAAATACTCTATGATTTGGAATAATTTTTACAGTCAAGTCTTGGTCATGTAAATAAATCTTTTTCGTTGTTGTTGTTCATTGTATGAAGCTCTGGATTGGTATACCCGGTGCTATTGCTATCCTTGAGTTGGGAGGGGGTTAGGGACCGGTAAGGGTAGTAGTCAAAGGACTTTCCGTGTAAGGAAATCCAAAACAGTTTGAGTCTTGGATTCTGGATTCCACATTGTGCTTTCCGGATTCTTTGTCAGTGCAACTTGGATTTCGGATTCCAATCATAAGGGGAATTCAGGGTTCTTATAGCTGTATTCTGGATCCTGATTCTTGGATGCAAAAATTTAATTTCCTGGCTTTCTGAAGACCGTGGTAGACTGGGCAGAAAAATGCTGACCGATTTGTCAGCGGAGTTTGCCCAAAAAACCAAAAATCCAATATGGGGGCCCGAGTGACCCGTTTTATGAAAAGACCACTCGAAACACAGCGGAAAGTGGAGAAAATTCTGGAAAATAAACCCAGACCAGCACCACGTTACCCGAGCTCCAAGGCTGCGTTAGCTAAGGAACAAAAAAGTGAGTATTTTAAACAAATATCGGCTTTTAATTACCTCCTCTAGAGAAATGCCACTTCGATGAGGTTAAGGTGGTTATGTAAGATCAAATTTTAACGAAATTATCATTGATCGATGAACAGTCGATGAACAGTTAAATGTGATATAGAAAAGCTAAAAGTCTTTTTGGCTAACGTCAGGATGGCTCAGTCCTTATGTTGTTGCAAGATGTATGCATTGGTTTTAGGGAAGTTGTTATAGGGTACCAAAGAAATAGTGTTTAGATTACACCAAGTAGGGCCCTTCTAGGTTGCGGGGAGGGGGGGGGGGGGGGGTGGTGGTGAACAGGGGAGAGTTGTAAATCCCTAGTCCTTGTTCCGTTTGGTACATTATGCTCCTCTAACTGTAAATCTGGCGAGGGAGGGGAGGAGAGACCCAGACCGGGGGTTAGGGTAGGTGCACGATGGGTCTTTTTTTTGACAATACTAGAAAGAAAAGTCACAGTGTATCTCTCCTCCCTCACACCGCGCCAGTTTAAATATCCATCAACGCTGATGTTCCACACCAGACCTGGAGGTCAGACATCGATTACCTCCTTGTGATCCACCACCGCGAACCCCCCCACCAGCCGGCAGCGTATCACGCATGTGCACGGCTGAGAGGAGGAGGTAGGAGGAGCGTGGTGGTGAACAGGGGAGAGTTGTATATCCCTAGTCCTTGTTCCTGTTGGTACATTATGCACCTCTAAATGTAAAGCTGGCGAGGGTGGGGAGGGGAGGCCCAGTCTGGAGATTATGGCAGGTGCACGCTGAGTTTTTTTTTTAACAATACATAAGTAATAAGGGCCTAAAAATGGCCTTGCATGCACAAGATCTCATGGAGTTCTGCCATACTCTGCAGACAAGGGGGGTGGGGGGGGTGGCAGGGCATGGGGTGGGGATTTGATTGCCTTTGTTGGTCCTTAATGCTTTAAGATATTGTGGTATTTAAAAGTAACTGGAAGCTCTGTTTTCAAAACAAAACTCCATCAGGTTGAAAACTTGCAGTGAGGTTTAAAATTCTTGAGGCCTTTAACCCAAGGGAGAGAAAATCTTAACGATTTTGAATTTTCCTGACCATATTTGTACATAATGCGGAAGTAAGTGCCCCGGTCAGTAATCAAAACTTAAAAATAAATTTCATTTGGTGCCATTCACAAAAGAACCTAACATCTCATTCTTATATGTTATCTATGGGACAGGGCCGTTAGTGGATATTCTATAATTTAGATTGAGCTCAGTATAAGATTAATACTTAAGTTTTAAAAAGACTGCAATGCTTTACGGGACTAAAATGTTTTGATACTGTTGTTGCATTTCAATAAAAGGTGTCAGTTATTCTTTTACTAGAATCCAGAACATAGGTAAAACTTAAGTCAAGGGTAGCCATGTGAAGCCCAAGGTGGGGAAATTTTTGCGCATTTGACTGGAATGATTTGTTTGTGGGCAGAGAATTTGACGGAAATTTTTGAAAAATGTCAAATCCACACCCCACACCCCATGCCCTGCCTAACACCCCCATTACATTGATAGGTGCATTGGTATTGAACTTCTGCCTGTCCTTGCCACAGTCACAGACACCACTTTATCACTAGTAAGTCACAATTTCAAGGTCCTAGTTTTGGTCAGATTTCACTCAAACAGGACCTCCAAAGAGGTGTCAGTTCGAAGCTTGCTGGAGATCTAAACATGTCACAGTAAGATAAAAAGGTGAAAAAGGATTTTCAGCGGTACATGTCCACAACTTGCATTCATCAGCAGTAGGTGAACTTGGTAGTTGATTTCCAGTTCAGAAGTTTGTTTGTAACTTATCTTTTGGTGATGAAACCTTGATAGTAAGTTGCACCATAACAGTATTATCAATGTTCAAAAACATTCTTAGGTTAAATTTTTATATTTTCATCCCTTGATATTTTTTTGAGGGGCAAGGATTGAATGATAGGGTCTTGTAACATGGTACTAACTATTGAGCATGTGTATGAAATCCTGCAATGTTACCATTCAATAAAACCTCCAGTACTCTTACTCTCAGTACAATGTTTATTTCAATATAATTTTCCAAAATGAGATTTGGAGTTTTTGTTGAATTTTGAATTTGGCCTGTTCTGGGACAGAAAGGGATACAAGAATTAATGCAGGGTTTCAGCAGCCAAAACTAAACCTCTGGTTAAGTCCGTCTGCAAAGCAGCGTTGAAATCCTTGTTCTGCGCCCCCACTTGTGTACCAGGATTTGAGTACGTGCCATGATAAGCCTGCTAAAAAGGCCATTGTTTGATTCACCAATCAGTGTGATGGGAAATTCGAAAGGCAATTCTTTTTAATTTGTTGAGTTCACTAGGAAGGAGTCCAGGACAAGGATCTCTGTGCTGCTTTGCAGACATTACTAGCCATTATATCTGCTGTGCAAGCTGTGTTTTAGTGGTGAAACTAATGGGATTACAGTAGTATAGTGGATAGGATAGGATAGGATAAGTGCTTTATTATCAACAGAGCGCCTACAGACACATGTGTTTACAACGATAACAAAGTTTTTAGTGCAATAATTACAGAGGTGTACATTCGTAAAATTTATACAACTGTTAAACAAGGTTATATTTAACGCGTCTATCTCTTTCGCGGAAGCGATCATATACGTATTTAGCCACAATTTTTGCGTTTTCTCTCCTTGCTTCATACTTACCAACATTGTAAAGGCAGAGCTTGGAGTCATAGAGTCAAGAATAAGATTAGTTTCCTTTTTTAGCGTATTGAACAACTCTCTCCTAGGATCCCTATAGGCTATGCAATTCATCAAATAATGCTCCTCGTCTTCTAATCCAGTTTTACATAATGGACAGATTCTTTGGTCTGGTGGTTGATAGGGTTTAATGGTGGTTGATAGGGTTTAGTGTCCATTCCATGGATGGTGGGACACTCCCTTATTTGGCCTAAACAGGTGTGCACCAATAAAAAGGAGATTGGTTTACAGCATCTTGAGTCTAGAGCAACGTACATTGTATACAATTTCACTATTTAGCATCATGAACAGGGTATGATCTGAAGTCTTAAAAAATAGATGAGTAGTCCACATCTGTGGTACCTTCAATTTTTTCCAAAAGTTTTTTTTGCTTAAACGGGGTCAGGGTTTGAAGGCCTCGGCTGCACACCGATGCCCAAACGTTCCTGGTCATTGTACATTGCTGGGAAACTGCCCACCTACCCCTCCCCTAAGCCAACATTTTGCCTTAAGTGAGAAGTAAGTGTTAATGTTGGCTTAGGGGAGGGGTAGGTGGGCAGTTTGCCAGAAATGTATAATGATCCAACTTCCCTTGAGTGCCTCCCCCTCCCCCTCCCCTGGTTGTGCATCATAAGTGGTGTCTGTAAATGGAAGTTTCACTTTGGTCATTCCATCCTCTCCTGGTTTTCAGGTAATGAAGAACTGTTTAAAGAACGGGACCAAAAAGATGATGAATTTTTAGATAGGCTCAAAGAATTCAAGATAGATTCCACAGACCCACAAAGTGAAAAGGTAAGAAAACCAAACAATGAAGACTGGTTAACATCCTCTGATGTTTTATTCCAATCCTTTCAATGGCCAGTGGAAACATCAAACTTTAATTGATGAAACTTAGAATTTGCTAGCCTGAGGGCAATTTCTGCCAGGGGGGGACCTAGGAGCAGGGGGGAAAAAGAAGGAGGGGAGACTGCCTGATCACAAACAAATTTGCAGGAAATTTATCTTTCACATGCTTCAGGAGCACCCAACAAGAATACAGTTAAAAACCACTTAAACATAGCATAGTTAAACGTATTTAAGCATTTAACGGTAGATATAGGCATTTTTTTATCCCCTAAAAATTTTTCATCTGTTCGGATTTCCTAACTGAAAGTCTAGTGATCCCAAAATTATAGAGATCAAAACTTACCTTTTCGAAAATCTCATCCAGAGAAAAGTCTCCTGAAAATTGTAGGTGACCTTTTTAGGGTAAAAATCGGTTAAAAACATGCAATTATACCATTTTTTAGATATTCGAAAATCCTAGGAGAGGCAGGCAAGCAAGAAGTTTTACATCAAATGTTCCGAAAATTCTAGATCTCAAATCGTCTTCTGAACAGACATTTTCCGAAAATTGACGTTGGGTGCCCCCTTATGTTTGATTACATTCAGTGCCTCTTTCCGCACTGTCCTCGCTCTTGCTTTTCTCTTTCTGCCATATGTCTTCATGTTTGACAGAGTTTCTTATGTATAAGTTGAATGTTAGGCCTAGGAGGCACTTTGTGTGATGTCTATCATAAAGACACTGAATTTAATAACAGTGGCACCCCGCCATACTACCACCCAGTTATAACACTACCATTTTTTTGTGGCACGAACAAAAGCCCACACATTCTATTATTAGTCCCCAGTACTTATTTTCTTTATAAAATTACCTCGTTAATACGACCGGTTAAATTGCCTGGTGAAGAACAATGTAGACAGACAATTTGACAAATTGCACATTCTAGCTTGCACAAAGTGACAATCTTGGTTCTTCGGCTCGGGAATCATGAATAACGAGACTCTGAGAAAAGCTCAACTAAATACACGTATGAATTAATTGCGTTCGATCCAGGGAATGCAGGATATGGCGTTTCCGAGAGTCCAATTTTCAAAAAATTTTCCGGGGGAACATGCTCCAGGACCCCCCTGTATAATTCGTGCATTCGGGGTTGACAGTACGCTTGTTTCTCTAATAACCTTGTGCTTAGTGTTCAGTTACAAAAAAGCTCCATGCCAAGACAAAACGAATGATGATACCAAGTCTGAATGAAGCAGAAGTTTGAACACCAAAGAATACAAAACGAGACTAAGTTGCCCCTGAGAAAATCAGTAAGTCAATAGGTGATGATCAGAAGTCTTCGTGAATCACGAATCTGAATTCTTGTAGGAATCATGAATCATTGAGGCAAAAATGACAGGAATCATGCACATCAAGATTCAAGTGATTCCGCTTCTACCCCCGAGACAGCAATGAAAACGCCAGTTATGAGAAGTGAAGTTCTGTTCTTTGACCAAGACTCCATTGCAATTATTCCAACTTGCTCCCTTTGTCGAGTAAGGACTTATTCTCTCAGAACTGCATTTTTAAGGACCGTATCCATCTTCACAGGGAAACGAAAAATTCTTAATCGGCTGCTAACCATGGTCACCCCTTAAACCTCTCATTGAAGCAAATATCCTGTTGGAGTCTTGCAGTGACGGCAAAGAAATGAACCAAAATATGTGATGTTCATATGGTTTAAATACCTACTGCATGCTTTTTTGACAATTCGTTCTCGTTGCTGTCGCCGTTGTACTTTCTGCCCTCCCCGCCCCCCAGCTTACTTGTGCGATAGCATACTTTTCCGCAAAAATTTCACTTTCGCTAAACGTTTTTTTTTTTGCACTACAATATCAACAATTTGATTTTTTATGGACATGTTTCAAATTCTTTTATTTAACTTGGGTGGGCACCCAGTATTGGTCTTTGTATCCCTTTTGGGCATTCATCCGACCCTTTTTTAACTATTTTGTTTTTTGCAACGTACTATGTATATTTTATTAAGATTCATCTTACCCAATCAAGTATGGATTAAAAATGTAGAAAGGAGCGTGAAAGGCTCACTTTTCCTCACCTCGTTGGCTTCCGCGCTGCCAAAATTTTCCCCGAACTCGCAAAAGTAAGCCTGCTCGCAGGTTAGCATAGATAGAGGGGTCTGTCATCTTGAATTAAGCACTTCTCTTAATACCTTTTTCAGCGAATGCCAACAGGCGAAGAATCTGAAAGAAAATTACCCCGGTCACGTGAGCCAAGATACCCCAGGGAAATTGGGGAACCACCCAAGGGGAAAATAACTCCGGTGAAATTATCAGAACTTTTCGCAAGAAGACTGCAGGACCCAGATACATGGACAGAGGAAAAACTCGCCGAACATTATCAGCTGGATAAAGAGGCACTGCGTGCCGTTTTAAAATATTTTAGTGATTATGCTGTTGTCAAGAAGAAAGACTTCCCAAGACCGCAAGACGATGTACCATTTCTCGGATGACGAAGTTGTAGCAAATAGGGCTTGCTGATGAATTTCGTGGATGGAATTATGTTCAGTGCATTGTGCAGCATTTCGTTTGTTGCGTAGATCTCCTTAATAGGACATGGGCAGTGGAGCTGCTGAACAGTTATGCAACACTGATCCTTTAAGAAGATTTCCCTGGCTTCCCGCAGCCTTGTTCCTAGGCGTTCTCAGCGCGGTCAATCCTGGACTCTACCGTGAGACTCGCGCGCTCTTTCCCAGACTTTGTACGGACAACGGGTCAAGAGAGAACGCCTAGGGACTAGGCAAGGCTGCCCGAACTCTATGCGCATGGAAGGTATTGGAGGCGGCTAATTAGCGAAACATGCGTACTGAAGAAAGTATTATGGCAACAAGAAACGCAGTTTCCTGGAGTCAGTTGGATAATATTATAATTAAAAAAAGTTCCTAAATAGCCGTGCGTTAAATTCAGGGGCTGATCATATTACGCTTAGACTACGAGTAGTCCCGCATTTTTCCTCAGGGATAGTAGAGCGAGCGAAACGCGAGCGCGCGTGAAAATCACCCCACGCTTGAAAAGATTTTCACGCGCCCTCGCGTTTCGCTCGCTCTACTATCCCTGAGGAAAAATGGGGGACTACTCGTAGTCTATATTACGCTGGATAAATTTGAGAACGCAACGGACGGACCCGCCCTACCGTTCACACTAAACCTGCCCGAGTACAGCTTTTTTGAAAACGTTTCTTATAATGAGCAAAGGCGACCGTCCACACAAAGCTTGTAGATAAAAGATACGCCGTTTAGATCTACAAGAACGACAATGCAATGTAAAAAGATGTGTATTGTGATCTTACACGTAAGTTTTCATGGCGGTGTATTATTATAATACGAACCTTTGCGATATTCCTTCGCATTTCTTCGAAATTCAAACATACGATCGTTCACACCGGGGTGAGGGTGCCCTGTGAATACTTTGGCGAAAAAACCTAAGTCATACATACACAAACCGCGAGCTTAGCCTTGGCCTACGTGTAGCCACACACTCCCTCCTCTCGGGGGAGGGTGAAGCTACACTTAGGCAAGCCCAACCCCCTACATCAGAGTAGGGTATCGCCACGCTTCGTCACCAGTTAACACCTGAGCTGACGAAGCCCAAAGAACGTGTGCGTGGGAGGCTAACGAACTGCTATTACAATAAGCCAAGTTATTCTTACAAATGCAAATATCACAACCGGCAAAATAGTTCTTAAAAGGAAGAGTCAAAAGTGTGCAAAGGTTTCAACCTGGTACCATCTTAGTCGATCAAAGCCTATCGTGGCCTACATTACAAGCTCTCTATAAGCCAAGAAACACGAACGCGATTCGCGCAAAATGCCGCGTTCGCCTCGCTTGGCTCATAAAGCGCCTGTTATGCAAGTTACGCTCATCGCCGTCGAATACGCGCGCAAAGGAAAAGTGTACCTCTTAGGCTCGATTAACAACCGCCGCGGTTAGGGAAATTGAGCCCGCACTGATCCCCCCGAAAGGGAGCTCTTCTCTTCTCTCTCTCTTCGTGGAAGTCTGCTTCATGTAAAGCCGTTCTTTGTCAGGCAACGCTCCTCCTCCGCATTGGGTGACGACACGAAGAAGAGCTTTGAACATCTACTTTGGTCCGAGCGGTTAAAAGACTAGACTATCTTCGGAGAGGATCAAAGACAACACCCGGGAGACGGCGGAAATCGAGCCTACCACTCGATGTGCTACCAGTTTGCTAGGGGTTATTGGTTAAAAAATTGGGAAAAACAACTGATTGGAGTGTAAAACAGGAAACTGAAGTAATTGTGTCTAAAAATAAGTTTTTGATTTTTTTTTATTTCTCTTTACCAATTACTACGATAAAAACTGGCAAAATTAATCATATTTCTGCTTTGTGGCAAAATGTTCAATGGTACTTGCGCGGAATTCCTTTTTTTGTTCTCGCGTGACTACTGCCCGTGGAAGTGGGATGAAAACTCGCCTGACACGCGGACATATATCGTTGCAACGATGTCGGCGCGCATTACGCGCTTTTTGTACTTTTGTATCAACATTGTATTGACATGAGAAACCGCCATCACCGGAAAGTCATGTGCAATCAAAATATTTACCAAAGTAATACAAAACGGTTCTCGTTTTAGAAAGTTGATCGTCTTTCTTAGCAATAATCTGTTTACATGCAAGGACGTCATGCCCGGTCTAATTTCAAACGAAACTTCTGAAACAGCTCGAGTGCGATCTCTCAGGAATTTCTCTTTAAACCTCCACCTTCGTCCGGTTTGCTTGAAATCATATTGAGGAGTTGAAAACGTTGGCTTTTGAAATATTCATTGATGAATAACCAGAAGAGGACAATCAGAAGTTACCCTTCTTATTTGAACTCTTCATCGTACTTTTTATAGTGCTAACATGGAGTCAACCCCAGTGATTCCAGAGAAGGCTCAACCGCGTACCGGCATGTTTGAGAATGGTATATTTAGAGTACTAAGATCAACTGAACTGCGGGTTACCGCAACATTTTTTGAAGATCTCGTCAAGGGTCGTCGTTTTCTTTTTTTGGCATTCTCTCCAGCTGAAATAAAAAAGCTAAAAATAGAAATTGGGTGTTTAGTCAAGAATAAAACACAGAAAAATTCTAGGTCGAAGGCAAACTGCATATTGAACAAATAAATATTGATTTAGAGGTAGAACAATCACATATAGTTGTTTGTCTGCCATTCCTGACCGAATTGGAATTGGTATATGATAGTTTTCAAAGAGAGGATAATCAGAAGTTACCCTGCGAGCAGAGGTTTCTCTCTCGCAAGGCTTTTAGCGTTTACAAAGTCGTTCGCGTGGCTTGTCTGTCGCGTAGTTGATTGGGGGCGTAAAACAAACCAACTACGCGACAGACAAGCTACGCGAACGACTTCGAAAACGCTAAAGGCCTTGCAAGAGAGAAACTTCTGCTCGCAAGATAATCTGGAGTTATCCTAAGAAAAACTGTCGGAGCAAGGGTCAACAACAAAGACATGCTCATGACGTCACTTCCTGTTAAAGCCAGGTCATATTGGTGGAGGTTGACTTGCTCTCTCTTCGGCGCCGCCCTTGCTTCTCATTCAGTATTTAAACTTTAATGTGCGGATTTAGAGAGAGGTATCAAGGGGGCCTCGGCACCCCCTTTTATGAAAAAAAATAGTGTTAAAATCTTGAAGAATCCTCAGTAAAATCTTTCGAAAACATATGCCGCCAGAGTTTTTTATACAGCGCTGCTACAAAACAGCCCCCCTCTTTTCTGAGTCTTCTGGATCCGCCCTTGCTACTTATCCATACTGCTAGGAACCTCTATGAAGGAGAGGCGGCGGAAGATTTTTTGGCTCCATTTCGAACGATAAAAATAGTCTATAAGAAAAAAGAAAATCTTCAGATGTAAATTTTCATTGCGGGCAGTATTACGTGGCAATTATTATTATTATCATGTTTTTTACTCACAGAAGGCGGTTATATATTCACGCAGGTAAAATTTCTTGAGAAAATAATGAGCGCGTGTCTTTTGTTGTGACTTCCTCCACTGCCAGTAAACACACCCCTTTGTTAAGGACAAGGTCACTTCGTACTTTGATAAGGACTGCACATTATTCTTCCAACTGATCCTATCAATATTCTCCGCGAGAGATTATTAACAAAGAGGGAAACAGGGGCATAGCGTGAGAGTTTGAAGGTGTACGTGCGCGGGAACAAAAGCTAGACTGCCGAAGGCGCTGATAAATAGAGGAGTCTGCATGCGAGCATGCTCCCGCAGAAAATTTTCAAATTTAGGGTCCTTGAAATGCCATTTCATGCCTTTTTAGAGGAACATTTTCGGCAAAGAAATACGAAGGAAAATGTAGTAGTTAGTCTTTTCTTTTACCCATCTCTAGTGTTATGGATAAGATACAATGTTTACGAAAAAGGGGTAAAACAGTGACATCATCAAAGAGGTTACAAGATGTGTACCCTTCAGGGTAAACTCTGTTACAAGGTCATCAATCATCAACGTCCTTGTTCTTGTGTATGTGCAGAATTGCAATAGGGCTCAATCTCTTGCCTGTCATCCCACTAGCTCTAAAACGTTTAATTCTTGCATTCCGTTGATAGAATAATAAAGGAAGAAGAAAATACTAACACAAATGCGAAAATGTTGAAAATTTACCAGTCATCCTTATTTAATCATACCTTCAGGAAATAAAAAATATATATTGTCGATCCCAGATTTCAGCTGTTCGCATGCGGACAGGTGTATGTGAGTATATCGACGCTACGCTCCTGCAAAAGAGGAAGCGTCGTCATTTCGTTCATTGCGACCAAGGGATAGAGGGTAAATTTTGGTTGCCATGACGACGGGATTGAAGAACCTAACATTGGGGACACCGGCTTAAAAAGTGCTGCCTTGAAATTGTCGAACGCGACTGATGTCGGTTCGCACGTGCAGAGGCCTTGCTCATTTTACAGAATAGGGCCTAGGGTTATGGTGTGTCAGTTATAGATAAATATTATTGAACTCTAAGAGGAGCATTTGCGTCAAGACAGGCTTTAAGAGAATTCTGTGAATTAATCAAAATATCTGACAAAGCGCCCCGTCAGCCCCTCGCTAATAAATCCCGCAAGTTACAGGCCGGGCTAATCGCATCGGAAATTCATTAATTATTCGACGGAACCGTAGCGCCATTTCAGCAGATGACTGGTTAAGAATTTATGGGCTGACGAGAAACGCAAATTTAATCAACTGCGTGGAGACGACTCGAGAGATTGGGACTGAAGATTGTACTGGAAAACTGAGGGTAACACTGGAAAAAAAAATCTGGCTCCACCCGTGTTGGTTCGATCACTTGCCTAGAGTTCCGTGAGGCCTATGCGTTTCGGGTCACTGTCACTTCAGTGGTCAGAAATGAATTGACCGAGAGGGCCTGGGAGGCAGGGACTTGGCAAAGAGGCAACGCGAAAACTTAACGCGAAAACGCGATCATAAAACGTAATCACGTGATCAGCAACCCAGGCATGAAAGCATGCGCAAAAGTGAAACACGCTGGAATTTTTTTGCTTTCCCAAAAAATGTAACCAGCGTTTGGAGGTCTTTAG